GTGTCTGTTTTTGTTCCAATATCATGCTGTCTTGGTGATCACTGCTTTGTAATATAGCTTGTAATCAGGCAATGTGATGCCCCCAGCTTTGTTTTTCTTTTTCAACATTTCCTTGGCGATTTGGGATCTTTTCTGATTCCATACAAATTTTAGGATTGTTTGTTCCAGCACTTTGAAAAATGTCATTGGAATTTTCATTGGGATGGTGTTGAAAGTATAGATTGCTCTGGGCAGCACAGACATTTTAACAATGTTTATTTTTCCAATGCATGAGCATGGAATGTTTTTCCATCTTTTTATGTCTTCTTCAATTTCTTTCATGAGTGTTCTGTAGTCCCTAGAGTATAGATCCTTTACCTCTTTGCTTAGGTTTATTCTGAGGTATCTTATGGTTTTTGGTGCTATTGTAAATGGAATCTATTTTCTAATTTCTCTTTCTACAGTTACATTGATAGTGTATAAGAAAGCAACTGATTTCTATGCATTGATTTTGTATCCTGCCACATTATTGAATTGCTGTATGAGTTCTAGTAATTTGGGGGTGGAGTCTTTTGGGTTTTCCACATAAAATATCATGTCATCTGCGAAAAGAGAGAGTTTGACTTCTTTGCCAATTTGAATATATTTTCTTTCCTTTTGTTGTCTGATTGCTGTTGCTAGGACTTCTAGTACTGTTGAACAATAGTGGCGAGAGTGATGCATTTCAAATATACTTATATCAGCACTTAAACATGATTAAGATGGTAAATTTAATGGTATAGTTTTTACCACATTAGAATATATATAAATAAAATATTTTGTAAGAGTTTCATAAAAATCTCACAGTGAAATTTTAATTTTTGTTTAAATAAGGAAAGCCTTTATTTACTCCATTTTTCTTTTATGCCTACAAACCTTAAGCAACTCCCAGAGATTACAGATAATGATTTACAGCTGTTCTTTCATTACAATGAGATCTTTTTCATCTATATCTGAAGTTTTTAACTAATTTAAAGCACTAGAGTGATAACTTTGGCAGCACATATACTAAAACTGGAACAACACAGAGAAGATTAGCACCCTGCGAAAAAATGACTTGCAAATTTAACTTCATTGCACTAGGGTATTCTTACATTACCACCATAAACATCTTAGGATTCAACTTCCTATAAACCATGTGTGTTCCACTTTCTGGGTTGAAAATAATTTTCTCTGATAGGAAAGACAAATCCAATTCAGCATTTCAGTGGCTCTACTATCCCCATTTCATCTACCCCACCCCTACAGAGTTCTTTTTAGCTACTTTTTTTTTTTGTCAAACCAAACTTACACAAACTAATTTTAATTTTCTGTAGTATTTTTTACAATAAATTTTCCTTCTCTTTAAGCTTCCTGGAGTACAGTTCTATGCTTCTCTCTCATACTCATTTATTCAGTTATAATTTCCTTAGTGTCTACTATAGGACAGATACCATGTTTCCACTGTTTTGTACATGTTCTTTTATGATTTGACAACTATGTTCAAGCTTCCCCAATGTTTAACTTCTATTTATATTCTACCTATAAAATATCTATCTGTTCCATCTATATTTTTTGTTATTGTTAGCTACTTTTACTTTTCCATATGTACATTCTTTTAAACTTTCTCAAATTCTGTAGGAGAAAGAATAATAAATACATACACATATATTACAATGTCCTTTTAAAAATGTCTTCTAGGGGCGCCTGGGTGGCTCAGTCGTGAAGCATCTGCCTTCGGCTCAGGTCATGATCCCAGGGTCCTGGGATCGAGCCCCGCATTGGGCTCTCTGCTCCGCGGGAGGCCTGCTTCTCCCTCTCCCACTCCCCCTGCTTGTGTTCCCCTCTCTCGCTGTGTCTTTCTCTGTCAAATAAATAAAACCTAAAAAAAAAAAAAATGTCTTCTAAAAAGTTTAATGTGTAGCAAAACTGCATTTTCAAAATTTTACTCATGAGTTATTTTCTTGTCAACACTTTTAGGTTAGTTTCACTGTTAGAGTCTCTGATCTTAAGAACATTTCTTGTTATCTGCTGATCATTTTGAAATAGGAATTATCTAAGTTCCTTATACATATCTAACCATGTCCAGAATCTCTTCTTTGACAATTCTAAACTGTAAAATAACATTATCACTATTTGCAAACGATTCTTCCCTTCTATTTCATTAGTTCTCCTTTATTTAGTCAAAATTAAGCTAAGACATGAGTTCCTCCCATAGCTTCCTCTACCTTTTGTGAAAGTAAATTATCAGTAAATCAAAAACATGTACGACATTCTGCTTTCAATAAAATGAGAAATCCAACAAAAGCTTTTAATATCTACCCATATAGTTATCATTTTTGATACTCTGTATTACTTTAAATAGATCCAGATTCCATCTGGTAACATTTTCCTCTGCCTGGAAGACTTCCTTTAACATTTCTCTTAATGCAGGTCTTTAAGGGATGAATATTTCAGCTTTTATATGTATATAAAGGTCTTCATTTTATTCTCCATTTTGAAAGATATTTTAGCCTACCACAGAATTACAGGTTGACAACTGTTTTCTTTTAATACTTAAAAATGTTGCACTGCTGTCTTCTGACTTACATCATTTCCAACAAGAAATATATTGCCATTTTTAACTTTGTTCCTCAATGCTATGTATCCTTTTTCTCTGGCTGCTTTTAAGAATTTTTTTTTAACCATTCTAGTCAATTTGGTTATAATATGCCTTGGCATAGTTTCTTTAACATCTTTTGTGTTGCAGTCTTGTTGAGCTTCATGGATAAATGGGTATTTAGTTCTTATCAAAGTTTGGAAATTTTCATTATTTCTTAAAATATTTTTTATGCCCCTGCACTTTTTCTCTTCCTTCAAGGATGCTAACAACACACATATTAGGCCACTTCAAATTGACTTAGAGTTCATTGATACTTTATTCACTATTTTTGTCCTTTTTCTCACTGTTTCATTTCAGATAGTTTCTACCAGTGTCTTAGGGTTCGCTAATCTTTTCTTCTGAACTTTCTAATCTGTTGTTAATGACAGTGTACTTTTTAAAAAATATTATATTTGCTATCTCTAGAACTTCAATTTGTGTCTTTTTATTTGTGCCATTTCTCTACTCAATATGTTCGATCTTTCCCCTACCTTCTTAAACATGTGGAATATAGTTATAATAACTGCTTAATGTCTTTATCTACTAATTCTATCATCTCTGTAATTTCTGGGCTTTTTCTATTGATTGTTTTTATTTTCCTGATTCTAGGTTATATTTTCCTGCTTCTTTGCATACCTACTAATTTTTTTTTTATTGGATGTCACACTGTGAATTTTATCTTCTTGAATACTGGATATTTTTTAATTCCTATGAATATTATTGAGATTTGTTCTGAGACACAGAAGTCTAGTAAAGCAAAAAAATATATAAAAGATGAAACACCTGGAGAAAAAATATAAACTGTCATTCACAGGTGGCATAATTGTGCTTGAGGAAATTTTTTTAAAACTAATAATAAATTAGCAGAATTAATCATTTAATTTAGCAAGAAGTATGGATCATTGGTAAAGCAAATCTTTAATAAAGACTATTATATTTCTTTATTCCAATAGCAGAAAGCTAAACAATGAAAATATTTAAAAGGTACCATTAGAACTAAAAAACATGAAATACTAAATCCCAAGGAATAAATCTAATAAAGATGTATAAGACCTCTACACAAAAATTATAAAACCACAAAAAGCATTTAAAGGAGACCTAAATTACTCTCAGAAAATAGTGGAGCAATTTTATTTTATTTTTTTTAGTGGAGCAATTTCAAAATGAAGATATGTATTTAAAGAAATAATATGAGATCCTCAAAGAAATAAATAAGATCCATCTTTTGAAAAGAAATTACAAACATAGTTGAGAACCAAATTAATGTTTATTCTTATGCCATAAATTACCACATAAAATTATTTCTATAATAGTAGTATGGCTTGGAATGCCTGGGTGGCTCAGTTGGTTAAGCATCTGACTCTTAGTTTTAGCTCAGGTCCTGACCTCAGGGTCATGAGACTGAGCCTCATGTTGGGCTCTGCACTCAGGACAGAGTCTGCTTGTCCCTCTGCCTGTGCTCCTTCCCATGCTCTCTCTCGGTCTATCTCTCTCTCTCTCTCTCAAATAAATAAGTAAAATCTTAAAAAAATAATAATAATAGTATGGCTTAAAATAATGAGGCATATATGCTACATGTAATTTTTAAGCCCTATGCCTTGGTATTAGATATAAAGAATATTATTTTAGTATTCACAAATTACCTGATAATCAGCAGGACCAGGAGCAGTAAAACCTTCTTTCTGAACCAGGAAGATAGTCCGAGGAACAGAAGAACCAAATGCACTTTTCTTTTGTTTCATCAAGCAGGTATCGCTAAAGTTGTCAATTATAGTATTGTTTAGGATATTATAAAACCCAGGACCTGAAGTCATGAGGAATGCCATAGGTAAGAATAAACATGTTTTTAATTTTTTTAAATTGAGTAACTTTAAGTAATTTTTTTTAGAAAGAACTCTCATATATTGCTGGCAGGAATGTAAAATGGTATGACATTTAGAGAAACAATTTGTCAAATTCTTATAAAGTTAAACATACTTATTATATGACCCAGAAATTCTACTCCTAGGTATTTTCCCAAGAAAAATGAAAAAAAAAAACTAAATGTCCATAAGCTGGTGAATTAAAAAAAAAAAAAATGCTATACCCAAACAGGAGAATACTACTCAGCAATAAAAAGGAAATATAAATGCAATAATATGAATCAACCTCAAAAACATGATACCAAGTGAAAGAAGATAGAAAAAATCCTGAAAAACATATGATTCTATTTATATGAAATTCCAGAAAATGCAATATCATAGTGACAGAGACAGTAGCCTGGAATGGGTGGAGACTAACTGCAGAGTGGAATGAGAGAGCATTTCTAAAATGATGGAAATTGCCAAAATTTAATTTTAGTGGTGGTTACCTGACTACATCCATTTACCAAAACTCATTAAACTGTACACTTAAATGAATTATTTTATTCTGTAAATTATACCTCAATAAAGCAGAAAGAAAGAAAGAGAAAGAAAGAAAGAAAGAAAGAAAGAAAGAAAGAAAGAAAGAAAGAAAGAAAGAAAGAAAGAAAGAAAGGAAGAAAGAAAGAAAGAAAGGAAAAGAAAGGAAGGAAGAAATTCTTGATGCCAAAAAGTATTAAAGAGTTGATGTAGCAACATTAAAAATTAATTTGGCAATGGAATGAATCCTAAATTAAAAAAAAAAAAAAAGATTTTGAAAAATGTGGAAAGTTTTTGCTTACAATTATAAGAATTGAACTAAAACTTATGTAGAAAACTGAACCAAATTAACTTTTAGAAATTATTAAAATCTTATTTATATAGCTCTCCAAGCACATTTATTGAAGTTTATAAATATCATAGATAGCATATTCTAAGAGAAATATAGTAAATAAGAGTACCGAGTTTAAAAAAATCAATTTGGGAAAAAAATCACCTATCATCCAATATTCCTATCACAGCTGTTACTTTATTTTTGCCTTTTACCTTTCAGGACATATTTATAACCCAGAATATTTTCTACAGTGGCAATCTGAGTGAGTATTTGAAACAAATTTTATATTTTGTATCTTTTTATATTTGTACATATGTTTTATAAATCAGTAATATTAAAAAATCAGTTCTGGTGAGCAGCAATATCCATCCATAAAATGCAATATATATTTGAAAGAACACTTAACTTGGTTATACTCAAGTTATCTACTAATTGTACTAAATTAGCTCTACAACTAAATAGTTATAAAACATAAGTTCAATCTCATTTGTTTTTCTGGGCTGCAAGTTCCATGTCTGAAGATATAGAAATTGACTAAGATCAGGCTACTCAAAATGTGGTCTGTGAGCTGTTGCTTGTCCAAGAACAATCCACAAGAAAAGAAGTTTACAATTAAATGTAAATTGACTATTTCACTAAGCACTTTTTTTATTAACATATAATGTATTATTTGTTTCAGGGGTACAGGTCTGTGATTCATCAGCCTTACACAATTCACAGCGCTCACCACAGCACATACGCTCCCCAATGTCCA